TACGTGTGCCTGCAACCCACGGACGATATTGATCATAGAGTTTTTTTGTCTTACATTTGATTGTTCAATTTGTTGCTCAGGGGTTATCCTTGCCCTCCGTTCAAGATTATCATTCTTGATGAAGCCGATTCCATGACCGCCGACGCCCAATCCGCCTTGAGGCGCATGATGGAGACGTACTCGAAAACAACACGTTTTTGCCTCATCTGCAACTACGTCAGCCGGTACGCCTGAATTCTGCCGTACTGTTGTTGTTATGGACAGTCTCTTTTGCGCACAGGATGTGTAATGTTCAACTGCATGTGCTCACCATTGAATCGGGACGGGGGTGGGTGTTGCAGCATTATCGAACCACTAGCATCTCGTTGTGCCAAGTTTCGCTTCAAGCCACTGGACGCTGGCATTCTGACCGAGAAGCTGACGGCAATCGGGGACAAGGAGGGCCTTCAGATTGACGCCTCGGTATGAGAATGCAGTCACCGCCAAATTGTTCTTGCACACACTCACCGCGAGAACTCTCGCTTGTTCGACAGGCCATCAATCAACTAACTGCAGCATCGGGTGGTGACATGCGACGAGCCATCACACTGATGCAATGCTGTTTCCGCTTGAACGGCTCCGATCCCATTACTGCAGACGACGTTGTGGCTGCGGCAGGAGTATGTGCACGAATCATTGCTGGCTCCGTTGGGATTGCGTGGAAAAAACTGACTCTTCCTCCCCTCACTCAAAATCTAGGTCGTTCCTGACGATATGATTCGTAAGCTCTGGAAGGAATGCGCATCTGGCTCGTTTGAGAAAGTGCAAGCTGCAGTGAAGGAGATTGAGGCGTCTGGCTTTTCTGCCGAGCAAGTTCTGTCACAGGTAACCGTTGGATGAGCCATCGATATTGTTTTCTTTTTTGTGCCACTGCGCTGCAACTACTCACTGTGTTCATTGTCTCTTCCAACACACAGGCCTTCGAGCAGTTCCTTGCGCGGCCCGACATGACGGATGCTCAGAAGTCGGCCATTGCGCTCGCCTTTGCCAATTCCGACCGACAACTCGTCGACGGTGCTGACGAGTCTCTCCAATTACTCTCTGTCTTTTCCTCCACCATGGAGACGTTGTCAGTTGTGCCCATGTAACTTTGCCCAGGCTTTTCAGCAATGCTCATGTGATAAAAAAATATACAAAACACGAACAGAAAAACAAACAAAAAAAAAACAAACCAAAAACAAAAAAACTGACATCTGCTTTGTTCCTGTGAGCAATGCCCTCAAAACGACCCGTGCTCACCCAATTAACTTGATGTTCGTGTCAATGACAGGGGTTTCGTTCGATGCGACTCTTCGATCCACAGACCACAGGTCTTCTCAAATCCATTTTGATCCTTGATCTTTGATTTTGATGCAGTTTTTTTTTTTTTTTTTTTCCGTTTTGTTTTCTCTCTTTCTGGTTGTTTTTTTTTTCGTCCATTTTCTCTCGTCGCCTTCCTCGCAGTCCACAACACACATCGCTGTCCTTGCTCGTTCGTGACTCATGTTCAAGTCCAAAGACAAGTCCAAGGCAGGCGGCAGCGGCAGCGGCAGCAGCGGCAACAGTGCGCCTGGGACGGAGCCTGCGTCCGCATCGCCCTCCTCTTCTTCGCCACCCGTGGCGGCCCCGACCCCGACCCTTGCAATCAGCGGCCGTCCTTCCGCGTCCGTCTCAGAAGCACTCTCGTCGCTCACCAGCATCGAGTTTGTCGATCTCGAGCGTCCGTCGCTCCTTCCGCGTGAGTAGTTGTAAATCCGTGTTTTTTTTTTTTGTTTTTTTTTGTTTTTTTTCCAATGCAAATCCCATACAAGAAAAAAGAGGAAAAAAAAGGAAAAAAAAAAAAAAGGAAAATCAACAACAAACCGCGAACAACAAGACCGCGCCGCCACTCACACTTTTGCCATGAAGTCGCACACCCACCCACCCATCTGAGCGTGTGCATTGGGTGTATCGACATGCCAGCATCGATGCGCGCCGCGGAAGCGTCGAACTGTGATGATAGCAAGCGATTCGACAAAGCCCGATTCTCGCCAAATCACAGTCCCTTGCTTGCTTGCTTGCGACGCAGCACACACCACTTCCTGAGCGATGCATCTCACTGGATGGAAAAACCACTTTGATTTGATTCTGCTGTGACCAGGCCACAAGGAGGGAAGCAAGCTCAAGCGCGTCTTTGCCAAAAGCAAGTCCGTCAATGGTGGTTCTATTGCCGCAGCAACCGAAGATCTTGGTCCTGTCGGTACTCTCAGCAAGCGCGGCCGAAAGTTGCTTGGGACGGATTTGCTGGTGGGCGAGCACTTTGTTCATATCGAGAAAGTGCTTGCTGAAGGTACGTTTTTTTTTTTTTTTTTTTTTTTGGGGCGCTCGCTCGACGTCGCTTGACCTCCAATGCCCGCTTCAATCGTTGAGCACGATGCTCACCTCGTTTGGTGGACAATAGGCAACACGTCTCACGTCTTCCTGGCGACTGATCGCGCCACCGGGCAACGCTACGCGCTCAAAGTCTTGGAATGCAAGGAGAAGGTCAAAATGGAAATGGCCGTCAAAGAG